TTGAGATCATGACCTGAGCCGAAATCAAGAGTTGGATGCTCAACCGATTCCCAGGCGCGCCCCACTCACATATCTTCTAGGTGACACTGCCTATTAGCTGGGCCTGCAGCAGGGTCTGTTGTCTGGAACATGTGGGTTTTCTCCCACTTGGTGGCTGGGTTGCAAGGGAGAGTGTCTCAAGAGGGAGCCGGGAGGAAGTTATATTATCTTTTTAAGACTAGTGTCAGAAGTCATGCAGTGTCGCAGCCTGTGAGCCCTGAGCAAACCTGCACATCCTCCTCTGGAGGCCAAGAAGGCTAGGCCCAGACTGTTCTTTCTTCCTGCTGTTTCTCAGGGATATGTTCACAGTGACCAATGTGAAGAATGAGGTAACATCTATTCTACTTCAAGGTAAAGAGCAGGCTTGCTAACTGCTTACAGTAAAAGTATTCATAAGACTCAACACTTTTTTCTAATTTTGGAGTCTTAGCAAAAGAAAATAGTATATTGTTAACACACCAAAGGATAGCTATATGAAATCACCGTCATCTTTTTTTTTTTTTAATGTTTTATTTATTTCTAGGAAAGAGAGAGAGCGTGAGCAGGGGAGGGTCAGAGAGAGAGGGAGTCACAGACTGAAACAGGCTCCAGGCTCTGAGCTGGCAGTCGTTGCACAGAGCCCAATGCGGGGCTCGAACCCACGAACCGCGAGATCATGACCTAAGCGAAAGTCGGCCGCTTAACTGACTAAGCCACCCAGGCGCCCCAATCACCATCATCCTTAATGTGAATGTTAAAAGCATTTAAATAAAATTAGAAATCCCTGCTTTCACTGCCTTTTTTTAACCATTAATAGGAAAGTTTTAGCAAGTAGTGCAGGATAAGAAAAGGAAAAGACTGTTAAGGATGTGAAACTATTATTTGTAGGCAAACTGATTATATATTAGAAAGCACAAGAGAATCAACTGAAAACTGAAAAACTTCAGTAAAATTTGTTAAGATGGCTGGCTACAAAATAAAAATAAGTATTATGAGTATATTATGAGTATCTGCACTAATCACTTAGAATCTACCAAAGCAAGGTAGAATGCATTTGTGAAAACAACCAAAACTAAAAATTAAACAAATTAATGATTCACTAATTAAATTGATGATGATTGAGCACTTGCTGAAACTTTCTGCTCCAATCATATAAAAAGGACAGGAAATAATACTAAAATGCAATTCTCAGCCCAGCCATGTTTAAAAACAAGAAAGGCAGATTTCCTGGTTAGAAAGAGAGAGGTTTTCCCCAAAGAGCAGAGCAGATGGGAACCACAGCAGGAGACTGGGACTGAAACCTGACAAACATGCTGGCCTGCCCGAGTGAATCTGGGGGCCAGAGAGGTACCATCTGCCACGGCCAGGGATTGGGAAGGACTGTCCATGTGTCCTGTGGGTCTGGGGCCAGTGTGCTTCCGCCAGGTCTGATCCAGAGGGCCAGGACTGGCATGAGACTGCCTGTCCAAGAATGCTTCCCCAGTTCAGGACATCAGGAAAGATCTCCTGTGGAAGATGAGCTTCCAGCCAGAAGTCACAGAAATACCTAAGGTAGATGAAAAACGTGAACAATTCACATAAAAATTGGGAAAAGAGTGAGTAGTAGGAACAGTTAACTCTATTTTTGAGCACTACCAGATGCCAGTGCATACAGCATGCTGAGTGTGTCCTGTAATCCACACAATGATCCTGTAATGTATTATTTTCACAGAATGAGAAAATAAAGGCATACCTTGCCTACTAAGTAATGAAGGTGACATTTGAACTCAGGTACTTTGCCTCTAGAGAGCAGACTCTTAAGCATTCTCTTTTCCTACTAGCTTATACTTGAAGAAACAGAAAACACAAATCTCAAAAATGGGGCAAAGATAAATAGGTAAAGGCAGAAACAACAGTCATGAACTAAGTGGTTATTAAAAAGCCTGTAACTATAAAATAAGAACAAGCAGGGACACCTGGGTCACTTGTTGGTTAAGCATCCCAGCTCTTGATCTTGGCTTTGGTCTTGATCACCCTGTTTATGAGATCTAGCCCCACACTGACAGTCAGCCTCCTTGCTGACTAGGCGGAGCCTGTTTGAGATTCTTTTCTCTCCCTCTCTCTGCTCACCCCCACCTCCACTCTCTACACTGCTTTCACTCTCTTGTGCTGTCTCTTTCAAAAATGGTTAGATAGGGGCACCTGGGTGGCTCAGTCGGTTAAGCGTCCGACTTCTACTCAGCTCATGATCTCACGGTTCATGAGTTTGAGCCCTTCCCCTACTCATGTGTAATACGCACATAAACTCTCTCTCAGAAAATGAATAAACATTAAAAAAGTTAGATAAACTTAAAAAGAACAAGCAGTTCTGGGGGGAAGTTAGAAATCTTTCTTTTTTTTTTTAAATGTTTTATTTATTTCTAGGAGAGAGAGAGAGACAGCGTGAGCAGGGGAGGGTCAGAGAGAGAGGGAATCACAGACTCTGAAACAGGCTCCAGGCTCTGAGCTGGCAGTCAGCACAGAGCCCGACGCGGGGCTCGAACCCACGAACCGCGAGATCATGACCTAAGCGAAAGTCGGACGCTTAACCGACTAAGCCACCCAGGCGCCCCGGGAAGTTAGAAATCTTAAAATAGAGTTAGTGAAATAAATTCAACAGATAACATGAATTACAGCCTGTATACCACTGAAGAGCTTTATTGGTATGTTGGCATATCCAGACTGAAGACATGAAATGGAAAGGTCTGTCAGTTTCTAGCGATGGTGGAGGAACAACCTGGATTTACCCTCCTGCCTGGGAAAAAAACAACACCAAAAAAACCATACGGAACAATGATTTTCAAGACCCTGGACATCAGGCAGTGAAGGACAGTGATCCCCAGGACAGTAAATGAAGTGAGCCCAGTACTTTCCTGTTCTTGGTACCTGTAGAAAGTTCCCAGCAGTTGGGGGCTGTTGCAAACTTAGACCCCCTAAGTTAGCAAAGGCAGTTTATAGACTCCAGGGAGACCAAGGCAGGTAGAGTTTGCAGGACCAAATGCCTGAGAGGAAGGAGCTTACAGAGAGAATTTTGGAGATCAATAGAAGGGTCCCCCTTAAATGTTCAAAAGATTAGCACATGTGTTATGAGGAAAGTACCCAAAAAGCTGGGAAAGGCATCCAAAAAAAGTAGAAGGAACAGTACAGCATGCTCCTATAAGGCCTGCATCTACCAGCCAGAATGGAAAGCTTCATAACTCATGAGGCATTGAGTAGAGTACTCAGGAGCATCTTTCCTCAGTGATGAGGATCGGTTAGCTGTACACTAAACACAGCTCGCTCGGATCCTGACTATACATCTTAAATGACTCAAGTCAAACTGTTTTCAAAGTTAACTGCATCTCATTACAAAGCTTAGGGATATGTATAAAAATATAAAAATACTTAGGGCAACAAGGTAAAATTTACAATGTCAAGCATCTAATAAAAAATTATTAAGTATGCAAAGCAGGAAAATACAACCAATGATAGGAGAAAATTCAGTCAATTGAAACAGACCCAAAACTGACCCAGGTTTTAGAATTAGCACGACAAGGACATGAGAATTGTATTCCATGTGTTAAAAAAAATTAATTAGAGGCATGGAAGACAGTTTTTTAAAAAGTTGAAATTCTGGAGATGAAAGTGAATGTCTGATATAAAAAGGTGAGACGGGCCCATTTCATGCACATTGTAAATACTGTAATAGTTTTCAGAAGGAGTTAGACTTAATGGATCATTCAATATTGTTAATTTGTCCATTCCACCCAAAATAACACAGTTTTTATGCAGTTCAAGTCAGAATCTAATTGGAGTTTGTTTTGGGGATTGATCAAGATTTTTAAGTTCACTGAGAGAATAAAAGGGCTAATGAAAATGAAAGATAACAAAGAATCTTGAACCTTCCACATGCTGATAAAAGTAATTAAATAAGATAGACATGCAAGAAATCCATAAGTAAATGGGAATTTACTATGTGATAAAGGTGGCATCTTTGATAAAAAATATAGGTTACTCAATAAATAGTATTGAGGCAGTGAACTGATTTCATATCAAATTTTCCACCCTAACTCCAGGGAGTTAAATATTTAAATGTTTATAGGTGGGCAGGAAATAAACTTTGAAGTGATGGAAGGATATACACACTGATGGATAATTCTATAATCTTTGCATGGGGAGTAACTTTCTAAATATAATGCCAAGGGAAAATAATACAGGAAGCAATAGATAATATGTTGACCATTGACTTAACAAATTCTAAACATGCTCTGGGGAACAACCACCATAAAACAAAATTTAATGAAGCCAATGTATTTATGTTCTGTGCTGCTTTTTGCTAGTGTTTCTCATGTCAATTACTTTTATGAACTACAATAAAATGAAGTAACTATAAAAGATGAAGTTAAAAAATAAACTGTCTTTTTTTTACTATTGGATTTCAACAAACATGATTCTGTCAAATTGTAGACATTTCTAAGCATTTTTAAAGCCTTAAATGTGTACATTGCTATACAGTTCCACTTCTAGGAATTTATCCTAACAAAATGAAGTTAGTATGTACAGATGCTTATCACAGTATTACTAGTGGGGGAAACATGAGACCCACTTAACGCTTTAAATAGAGTAGCTAAGTAATGTATGCTGTTTTCATATAAAGGGGTGTTATGTGACTAAATTACATTGTAAAAGTTTACTAAAAAATGGAGAAATGTTCAGAATAACCCTGATTATGATGTATGTACTTTAGATATTAAATGAGTGGTAGAATGTAAATCACAGTGTAAAAAGCAGTTATGTGGAGGGAGGGTATAAGTCTATTTTTGGTTCTAGGACTAAGTAAGATTAAGACAGTATACATGACAATTTCAAAATCTAGGGATGCTGTGCTAGTTCTTTGGTATTGTGCAGTATTATATGAGTTAAAACAGTACTGTGTGTGTGTGTTTAAATGTAATTTTTTAAAAGTTTTTCTGTGTCTTTTTCAGTTCTGTTGGAAATTTCAAGAATTTTGAATACTGGCTTAGATATGGAAACTCTGTCTATTTGTGTACGTCTTTGTGAACAAGGAATTAACCCAGAAGCTTTATCATCGGTTATTAAGGAACTTCGCAAGGCCACTGAAGCACTAAAGGTTAGAGATTTGTATGCGAGTTCGTTCTAAATATACTTTTTGTTTAGAAAATTATTAATGAATTTATGTGAAAGATCCTAGTTAAATATTATTAAACTAGCTTCTGTCACCATCAGAAATTCTGAAAACCAGGATCTTTGTAGCATATGTTCAACTACAAAAATTGCTACTGTCATGGACCATGAAGTCTCTCACAGAAGCCTCCAGCTGTGTTTAGAATTTTACTTGTGTTGTGAGTAAAGTTGTGTCTGTGCCCGGTATCTATGAATGTGACCTTATTTGGAAATAGTGTATCAGCAGGTGCAATCAAGTTAAGGCGAGTGCATAATGGATTAATGAGTGATGTTTCTATAAAACAAGGGAAATTTGGACAGAGATACATGGAGAGAGTACCATGTGGAGACACAAACGCAAGAGAATGCCTTGTGACAGTGGAGGCCGAGATGGGCGTGATGGCTAAGGATTGTTGGCAGCCATCAGAAGCTAGGACGGCTCTGCTGCTAGAGCCTTCTGAATCCTTGATGTTGGATTTGTAGCCTTTAGAACTGTGAGAAAATAAATCTCTCTTGTTTTAAGCCACCCAGTGTGTGTATGTGGTACCTGGTTGTAGCAGTTCTAGAAATCTAATCCAGATTTCACTTTTAGAAAGTGGGATGCTATTGTGACAAATACCTGCAAGTGAGGAAGTGGTTTTCGAATTGGGTAATGGGTTGAGGTTGGAAAATTTTACAGCACTTAATAGAGCCCAGATTTCCTTGAAAAAAACTTGGTAGAACTGTGGACATTAAAGGCATTTCTGGTGAGGGCACAGGAAAGAGAGGAGAGCTGTAGAGAAAGCTTTAATTGTCTTAGAGAATACACACATTATTATGAACAGAATGTTGCTGGAAATAATGGACGTTAAAGGGGCTTCTGGTGAGATCTAATGAGGATTATATTATTGAACTCTGGAGGGAAGGTTGTCCTTGCTATAAAGTGACAGAGCACTTGGCTCAATTATGTTTTACTATTGGAAGAAAAATAAAACTTGTAAGTGATGAGCTTGGATAGCTAGCAGAGGAAATTTCCTAGCCAAGTGTGGAAAGTGCAGCCCAATTTTCCCTTTGCTACTTAGAATAAAATATAAGAGGAATGAGAAGTCAGGGAAGGAACTGGTAAGTGAAAAGGACCCACCACTTGATTTGGAAAATTATCAGCCTTCCCCTGAGAATGTGGTTTGGAAAGAAGGCCCTGGGTGTGGATTTGATGAGGAGATGATGTGTATGACTCCTAGATGCAGTCAACCATCTGTGCACAGAACACTGCCAGCCTGGCTGAAAGCGACTGGGACAAAATGAAGGAAGGCTAGGGTTCCACAGGAAGGAAACTGGTCAGTAGAGCTACCTGGCTGCATGTGTTTCTCCTTCAAGAAAAGGAAGGGATGACTCAACAGTAGTTCAGAGACCGAGGGTCTGCTGAGGCCCATTGGCTGCACAGGCACCGTGGGCCAGGAAGACCATCTTTTTTCAAATTCAAACTCACCACTTCATTTTATTTTATTTTTTTTAGTGTGTGCATTTTTGAGAGAGAGAAAGAAACTGAGTGCAAGCAGGGGAGGGAGGGGCAGAGAGAGAGGGAGACACAGAATCTGAAACAGGCTCCAGGCTCCGAGCTGTCAGCACAGACCCCGATGCAGGGCTTGAACCCATGAACCGTGAGATCATGACCTGAGCTGAATTTGGACACTTAACCGACTGAACCACTCAGGTGCCCAGACTCACCACTTTTTAATTGCTTACATTGGGAACAGGAAAGGTGTGTTCCTCTTGCTTGCATACACTCATTTAAAATCTTGGGTGGTTTTATTTCCATGTTTATATAACACTAACTCACCACAGTTACTGAAATTCAAGTTAGTCCCTCTGAAAACTTGTTCAAGGACAAAGTGGCTTTTCTCTAGCCTCTTTTCTTTGAGAAAACAAAACTCTATAATATGTGTAACATGCCAATCTCAGATTCAGTCAGTCTCCGGTGAGTTCCAGTGGTTTGGGTTGTTTTTGAGATTTTTAAAACTTTTGGCTTATTAAATCTAACACAGAAAGGTAAACAGAGCACATTCACAGAGCAAAAATTTAGCATAAAGAGGCTCTGTGTACAGTTCTCGCTGCCAGCTCCCAGAAGTTCCCGGGAGCTCCCCCATCACTAACTTGTCCTGCTCTGTTTCCAGTAGCTACTGACCTGTTATGGTAGACACTTTTGAACAGTTTTACTGTCTAAACATGGGTCTTTACACACTGCAACTTTCATTGTATAAAATTTTAGAGCTTGATATAAACAGAGTCTTAAAGCACAATTCTGATGGAGTTCTTCATTTAACAGTATGTTGTTTTTTTTTAATCTTCATTTTTGGGAGAGAGAGAGCATGAGCAGGGGAGGGGCAGAGAGAGGGAGACACAGAATCTAAAGGAAACTCCAGGCTCTGAGCTGTCAACACAGAGCCCGATGTGGGGCTCAACTGCGAGATCATTACTCAAGCCAAAGTCAGATGCTTAACCGACTAAGCCACCAAGGCACCTGCATTTAACATTATGTTTGAGAGAGTTTTTGTGTGTTGGTTTTTTTGAGTATAGTTGACACACAATGTTACATCAGTTTCAGGTGTACAACTTAGTGACTTGACAGGTTTATACATTATATGTTCACCAAAAGCTGTCATCTGTCACATGACATCAGTGTTATTGACTGTACTTCTCTATGGCTTGCCTTTTATTCCTGTGACTTACTCGTTCTGTAACTGGAAGCCTGTCTCTCCCTCTTCCCTTCACCCATTGTGCCCATCCCCCTCTCTGATCCCTTCTGCTACCATCATTTTGTTCACTTTTTATAGGTCTGATTTCTGTTTTGGTTTTGGTTTTTCGGATTCTGCTTATGAGTGGAGGTGTGTGTTGTGTGTAGCTGTAATACAGTCCTTTCCACTGGAATAATCCTGCTTCGTTGCACAAATATACTGCTGTTTATTTATTCTTTCTACCTTGTGTGGATATTCAGTTGTTGCCAGTGTGAGGCTATTAGGAATCTGCTGCTATGAGTATAGTTGTCTGTGTCTCATGATACATATATGCATGCCTTTCCATTGGGTGTGTATCTAGAAATAAAAGTTGCTTGGTTGTGTCTATCTTCAACTTGAATAGATAACACCAAACTCTTCTAAAGTAGTTGTGCTAATTTCTGTTTCCATCAGCAGCATAACAAGTTTCCCTTCCTTGCTCCACATCTTTGCCAGTACTTAATGTTGGTAGTGTTTTTAATTTTAGTCATTTTTCCTGAGTATGGATAGTTTTCTTATAAGGCTTTATTTGCATTTCTTCTAGTACCAATGAGGTTGAATGTTTTTACTTATTTTTTGGCCATTTTCTTTTGCAAGATACCTTTTCAAGTAGCTTACCCATTTTTTCTGGCTGGCTTTCCCTTTTTTACCAGTAGTCTTTCCTTAAGTATTCTGAACTGTGCATGTAAAATTACTAAGCTCTTTTAGTCAGATTTTTAAGTAATTAAAAAATCAAACTGGGGGCATTGGGGTGGCTCAGTTGGTTAAGTGTCCAAATCTTGATTACAGCTCAGATCATGATCTCAACAGTTCATGAGTTTGAGCCTTGCATCGGCCCCACGCTGATGGTGCAGAACCTGCTTAGGATTCTTGCTCTCCCTGTGTCTCTCTCTCTTCCCCTTCCCTGTTAGCAGGCACGTGCTCTCTCTCAAAATAAAAAACATAAAAAAAGCAGGGAGGAGAATCCTGAAAAATTTGTAGCAAAGAAGAAAAATATTAATTAGAACTTTTTCTTGTTTTCCTTAAAGGAATTTTTAGAAGTCAGTATATAATTTTTATTAAAGAAGGAAACAGAACATTCAGAACCACCCACAAGATAACCAGCAATATTTGGCACATACCATTGTAGATGGTATGCTACTTTAAAAATTATGTGAGCCACACCTGTCTTTCCTTGTCCACCTTTTACAGACATTTTAAACATATGGTTGTTTTCCATGTTTTGGGTAGTTGCTACTAATTAATTTCCCTCATACCTTTTCTTTTGGTACTTTTTAGTGCTAAAAATAGGGTAAGGAAAATCTGTTCCTATTGTGTTTTACTGCCTTTACCGTGAAATCCTGGTGATTAGAATTTAATTGTATGGTACTGAACTCTATTTTAGAATGTGTAAAATATAAATCAAGGACATCCTGAAATGTTACAAGAGCTGTTGGTCTGAAACATCCGGTTTTTCCTTTTGTTTTTGGTTAGCTATGTAGGAAATTGCAACAATTTTTCATTAATTATTTTGCCTTTCTCATAGATTTGTATATTGATATTGTTAAAATCATTTACAGGAAAAGTAACTAGTTGTGTGTAACACAGTCAGTCAGTTTCTTAAGCATCAATAGATGTCACGTTATGTGTGTGTCTCAGAGCATAGATAGGACTGTTAATTAGATGCAGTGTGTAAAAAAGACTTTATTTTTATGAATGATCTTCTGTCAACTCTGAATTTTAGTATTGTCTCCTTAGAGCTAAAATGTAAGTAATCATTCACATATTGTGCTTTCAGAAATTCTGGGCAATACCTACTTTTCCTGTATCTTCTACTTTTAGTGCCAAGGTGCTTTGAATCATACCATTATTGATGCATTCCTAGGCATAATAAGCCTTGACCTTTCTCTTGCAGCTGTCTTGTATGATAATATCTTGTATAATAATGACTGACGTGTCTTCTCACTGAATGAACGTCTTGTACAGCACGAGGACATTGGAGCTATAGAATTTGGGACAGAAATGAGGAATTCAGTAAATCTTGTGTCCTCACCCATCCTCCCAAAGGAGGGAATAAACTTACACAGGAAAGTGTGGAAGACAAGACTTGTTAAAGTTGGGTTTTTTCCAGGGCCAATGCTTACGCAATTTTGGAGTCTCTAATGGCAGTCTGGTAACTGGTTCTCTAGGGCGCACAGAGTGGTGCCACACTCACGTAACAGGAGTTCTCTACAAGGTTGATGGTTTGCTTAGTTTAGGTGAAAATACTTACTTCGTTGTCTGTATCTTGGAGGAGAGCTTCTAAAATTAGTATGAAAATGGGATGCGACAAGACAAAAAATTAAGGTACTTTAATTTTTTAAAAATTTTTAAGTTGTCTGTTATTTCAAGTCTTCCTTGAAGTAGATGATACTAAGAAATGGGTTAGGAAGAAGACAAAGTGCCTAAAGGTATGTCACTAAAGCTAACATAAGAACCTATAAAGGTAGAAAGAAGAACAAGGGAAATGTTTTTCAAACTAGTTTCTAATCCTTGCGAATAAGAACCTAAAGAAGTTAAAGGCTAATTAGAATAAACCAACTATCTGCACAAGGTAGGTTCTGCTGATTGCAGAGAGAAGGTTTTAGATTGATAACAATTTTCCCAGCATGTGAAGTGATTTTCATGAAAGGCCTCTGAACTTATTATACTAAACATAAAAGCAAGTTTAAATTAAGAGGTTGAAACATACGTGAATTACAAGTTTACCCTGTATTTCTAAAACACTTACTTAAAATCATCATTTTCATATTTGGAATTAAGAAATTACTTAAATTTTTATCTTTTAGAAATCTGTATCAGATCATTTACTGATAATATAGTGTCTGGAAATTTCTGCGGAATGATCTGGGAAAGTACATTAGTTGGTGGAATAAGTGAAGCAGGATTAGCCATGTGTTCTGTATTCTCCTTTGCCCTTTGTTTCTCTGCCGTGTAACAGAAAGGCCTTTTTCTTCTTAATCCCCTTTTCACACTAAAATGAAACATGCAGAAACGGATAAACCAATAAAGACTGTGGGATAAGGTGGATACAGTGTGTGGATAAGGTCTGCTGTGGGTCAGGTTTTCAAGTAGCAGTATATTTTTACATTACCTGTATTAAGATGATATAACAATTTACCACTGTTAGCCTGGCAGTCACTTCAAAAGGTAGTTCTAATGCACTGCAAAAAGTGAAAACCACTGCATTGTCCTGATAAAAGTGGCTTGGTATCTGTCGGGGAGGAATTGTTTGTTCATGACGGTACAGTATTGACAAATATATCTCCGTGGTGTCTTTTCTGTGATTTTATTATAATGAAACTTACTTTCTTGTTCTAGGCTGCTGAAAATACGACAAGCTGAGTTTCTAGAGAAATCCTGATGGGATATGTCAAGCTCTTCAAGAGGATTTGAAGATTGCATTGTAGTTGAGAGTGTACAATGAAATTACTGCATGCAGCAGTGTAGAAACATTTTCCTTTTTAAAAGAATTATAAAACCATAGCTTTATAAATCAGTGGGAAATGGCTTACAGAGAGAACTATCAGATGTGTTTACATCACATCTTACTTTTTTTTAACAGCTCTAATGCTGGTTCGTATTTATGTATTCCTTATTTATAGCTCTGGTAGCTTTAATTTCCTAAGCAGTCTGTCTATCAGATGTGCACATCTGCTGTGCCTGGTTGAAGTATAGTGGAGCCCATCAGAAGTAATGTAGTAGTTATGACTTGTTGACATTTCCATTATAAAATTTAATTTTGAATTGTTTATGCAAAATAACTGTGGATTTATGTTGTATTGGGCTGAAAGTTGACAGAATTTCACCCACCTTATTTATGGATTTTGATTTAGACTTACATATATCAGAATCTTTTTTATAAGAGCAGAGAAATCATTTCTTCCCATCTGCTCTTTAACAAAGAATGTTTAGTTTTTTTAAACAAAAGTTTGTCTGGCAGTTAACAGTATGAGCCAGATCATTTTTGAATTGATTGAAAAATAAAACTTAGAAACTTAGATGTTAAAAGTAATGACAGTGCTTAGTTTTGTCATTTGAATCATTTACATTTAATGAGAATATTAATTGATAATATTTTTCTTTCTAAGTTTTATACATAAATGGTGGCCTAAAGAAATAATGCATAGTGAAACAGTCCTAACGGCAAAATTCTTTAATTTTATTACTAAAAATAATTTGAGTGGTTATCTAATCAATCACTAAATAGGAAGTATCTTTCAACAAATCTGATATTTTTCTGAAGGAATACATATTTCCAGTCATTAAAAACTAAATCAAGTGTTATGCATCAGGAATTGTAAGCATTAACTTTCTAAGGTCACTTTTGCGAGTCATTATTTTTTCCCTGAAAGTTTTAACTACTCAAAGTGATGGTTCAAAATAAGTTTTAGGAAACTTAGGATGATGTTAATTCTGTTCCTGAACAGACTCTCAATGGAATATTTTCCCCAAGATTAATATGATTTTAATCTGATTTTATTGTAGATTTTGTTAGCTTCCTTTTAAATGATAGTACAAGCATTTACTCATTAGCAGCTTTTTTTGTTCTTCAGACAAAGTAAGACTTAGTAGTATTTAAGTGGCAACCGTCTGTACTGTTGTAAAAATCTTGTCTTTTGATTATTTTGATTTTGTAAGCACATAGCCCTTTTACCAAGGGCACTGGAAGGTCTATTATTGGCAGAACCTGGTTGGGAGACAGTGACTTGTGATGCTAAATCATTTATTTGTTAATAAACGCTGCAAATATTGCATGTTGTTACTTACAAGATCATAAAGACAACACATCTGTCAGGCTCCAAAATTTGTATATACCCTTAGGCCACAAGAGTCCATAGTTTTATTTATGATTTTGTAGATTAAGTTATTTATGTATAAAACAAAGCAGGAAAATATATTGAGGAGTTTTGTTTACAAAGAACTTTAATGTGTTATACTTAAATGTAAACATATATTTTTAATGCATACTTGTACTATTTAACGAAATCAAAACAAATTGTAATGATACAATTGGCAATGTTCTGCATGTTGTCAATGACAAAAATAAAACCATTTTGGTGGTATTGGCATGTACTTTTGATTTAATGTATGCTTTTGTGTCTACAACTTGTGTTTCTGTAGGTATTCTTATATTTAGATGCTTATTAGTTGCATGTGAATGAAGACTATTTAAGGGTAGGCCAAATTTACAGTGTAAAATTAAGTTTGAAATGTAAAATGCAATATTTTTCTCCTGGTACTGAAAGGAGATAGCTATATTAACATTGCCCCAGGCTCTGCCTGGTTGAGTTAAGCCTCCAGCTTCAGCTCAAGTCACACAATCTCCTGGTTTGTGAGTTCGAGCCCCTCATCAGGCTCTGCTGACAGCCTTGGAGCCTGCTTGGGATTCTGTGTCTCCCTTTCCCTCTCTGCCCCTCCCCCAGATGCCCTAAGCCACATTATATATATATACACATATATATAATTTTTTTTTGTATTTATTGTGTGTGTGTGTGTGTGTGTGTTTGAGAGAGCGAACAGGGAAGGTACAGAGAGAGAGAATCTGAAACAGACTCTTGTGTTCTCTGCACAGAGCCCAACACGAAGCTCAAATCCACAAACTGTGAGGTCATGACCAGAGCTGAAAACAATAGTCAGACGCTTAACTGACTGAGCCATCCAAGCACCGCTAGCCATATTTTATATTATAAAATGTATACAACATAAAACTTACCATTTTAACAATTTTTAAGTTGTACAGTTCAGTGACAGAACATTCACATCGTTGTGCAGCCATCACTACTATCTAGAACTTTTCATCATCCAAACAAATTCTACCCTTTAAGTGGTTAACCCCCCACTTCCCTTCCACCCAGTTTTCTAGGTGAACATTTTTCTACTTTTTGTTTCTGTGAATATAACTATTCTAGGTACCTGATATAAGTAGAATCATATAGTATTTGTTGTTTTGTGCCTCTTTTCACTAAGTCTTATGTCTTCAAGATTCTAATAGTATAGGGGCGGCTGGGTGGCTCAGTTGGGTAAGGGTCGGACTTCAGCTCAGGTCATGATCTTATGGTTCATGGATTTGAGCCCCACATTGGGCTCTGCTGATAGCTCAGAGCCTGGAGCCTGCTTCTGATTCTGTGTCTCCTTCTTTCTCTCTGCCCGTCTCCTGTTTGCACTCTGTATCTTTCTCTCTCTCTCTCTCAAAAATAAACGTTAAAGAAAAGTAAAGATTCTTCCATTATACCGTATCAGAATTACATTCTTTTTTAAAGCTGAATAATATTCCATATTATGTATTTACCATATTTTGTTTATCCATTCACCAGTGAATATTTGGGTTTCTGTCTTTTGGCTATTGTGAATAATGCTGTTTTTAATATTGGTATCTAAATATCTGTCCAGGTGCCTGCTTTTGATTCCCTTTGGTGTATAGCCAGAAGCAGAATTGCTGAACCTTGTGGTTAATGTAGAATTAATTTTTTGAGGAACTGCCATATAGTTTTACACAGTGGCTGTACCATTTTACATTCCCATTAACAGTGTCAGAGGGTTCCAGCTTCTCTAAATCCTTGCCAATGCTTTGTTTTTGTTTCTTTAAATAATAGCCATTGTATAGGTGTGAAGGGGTCACTAATTATAGTGTTAATTTGCATTTCCCTAATTGTTCTCTTGACCGTCTTGTTACTTACTGGCTATTTGTATATCTTTTGAGAAATGTCCATTTAAGTCCTTTGCCCAATTTTCAATTCTTCTTTGTTGTGAGTTGTGGAGTTCTTTTTACATTCTTGGGATAATAATTGCTTATCAAATACATGATTGGCAAATGTTTTTTTCCCAGTCTATGGGTTGTTTTTTTACTTTCTTCACTGTTCTTTGCACAAATTTTTTAATTCTGATGAAGTCTGATTTAGTATTCCTTTGTTGCTAGTGTTTTTGGTGTCGTAGCCGAGGCCCCCCAGAATGCTGAGTTGACAGGTGCAAGACCATAGCGTGATGAAGAACTCGTGGTGTGAGCTCTGCAGTTCCTACTGCCTCCCTGGAGTCAGACTTCCCTGGTTTCCTGTTCAGCTCCATGATTTTGGTCAAGTTACTACTGAGATCCAGTGTCCTTATATGAAAGATGGAGAAATTTATCCCTACCTCACAGACCATGTGTAGAAGATTCTTTGCCATGTACCTGAAGCACATTAAATACTTCTTTTGCACACACATTCCACTGAATCCAGAGTGAAGAGCTATTTAAGAATTATGCATAAAACTAGGATAGAGCAAACTAGGTACCCACGATGAAACGTCTGATTTCCAGGCAAACTTTGCACTTGGACTCCACCTCATGTGGTCTATAGAAGTTTTATTTACTGATGAAGCCACTTTGACACCTTCTCCAAAGATAGAGCCAAAATCTTAAAACTTTATAAATGATGGTTTGGCTCTCTTTGTTAGGAAACTGATTTCTGTTTTCCCAAAATCCATATGTTGAAATCCTACTTCTTCAGTACTTTAGAATGTGACTGTATTTGGAGAGCCTTTAGAGAGGTGATTAACAGTGAGTCCTTTAGGGTGGGTCTTAATCCAAACTGACTGCCTTCCTATCAAGAGGAAATTTGGATACACAGACTCAGAAGTGCATCAGCATGGAGGGAGACCGAAAGGGCAGCCATCTACAGGCCAAGGAAAGAGGCCTCCGAAAACCTTCATCTTGGACTTCTGGCCTCCAGAACTGTGAGAAAATAAATTTGTTGATTAAGCCACCCCAGCCTGTCGTACTTGGTTATGGCAACCTTAACAAACTAATATAGGAATAAATATAAAGCGCTTATGTTACAGACCAAGCCATTATAGTTCATCTACAGGGGATACTAAGCAAGTGCTAAGTAATTTGGGAAGATGAAACAGGCCAGAGGGGTTTTTTTTTGTTTTTGTTTTTTTTAAAGAACTTGATGGAGGGGTGAATGGCTCAGTCGGTTAAGCATCTGACTTCAGCTCAGGTCATGATCTCTCTGTTCCTGAGTGAGGTTCCCAAGTTCGAACTCCTTACCCTTCATGGGTCTGTCTGCTGTCAGTACAGAGCCCACTTCAGATTCTCTGCCCCCCCACCCCCGCCCCTCCTCTGCTAGTGTGCTCTCACTCTCTCTCAAAACTAAACTTTAAAAAATAAAGCACTTGTTGGGCTTCCTTAACCCCTCATTGTTAAAGAGGTTCTGTGTTTAGTCCTACTCAGAACTGAGCTGAAAATAGCCCAGAGATCAGGCAGATAATCGGGAAACCAGAAATCCAAAAGAATAAAACTAATTATGGTTGGTGGTAGTTCTGAAGTAACATATTTCTTGTTTTTGAGGTATGTGGACCTATGTTACCATTTAAATCAGTAGACCTATTTGGGAAAGTCTCTATCTTATGTGGCAGAAGTGTATGTCACTAACATTGGAACCCAGATAAAGTGATTGAATCCTTTATATGCAAGCGGCTTAAAGAGTGAAGCGATTGTTACCACTGACAAATCAAGATGGTAGCCCACTGAATTAGCACCTCACGTAAGGAAATGGATTAACATAAAAGTGCTTTGATAGCAATGGCAACAGTATTTTTACATACATTCCACAAAATGAACAGTTGGATTTTTTAATGTGACAACAGAAAAGAGATTTCTTTTTCCACAGCCTTTATTCATATGCGTCAATAAGACTTTTTAAAATGTAAACAGAATTGTTTCTGTGCCGATTTTAAAAAACTACTTCAGTCGTTTTTATGTAAATTGCCCTCACAAAAGGGAATCCTTGACAGAAGGAACCAAAGGAAGAAAGGATGTGTAAGGGCTGAAAAGGCAGTCTAGAAAAAGTAAATCTTTGCACATTTTTGGTGGTAAACTAATTATTTGGTGTTCTGTCCTTAATTAGGCTTGGTGGTATCAAATAAACCCGTTTTAGTTGTTTCTAGATTGTCCAGGAAGCCAGAACCTTCTGGACAATCAGCACCTCCACTTTGCCGCGATCAGGTCCACCCAATTTCCCTCATGAGGATGTTTCACTGTGTGGAGTTTTGTAACTTCCAGGTAATTTTAGTGAAATTTCTAACACATCTACAAAGAGAAGGACAAAACTAGCAATACAGGGTTAGAAAAGAAGCTAATGGATTGTGTAGGCGCAGAAAGGAAATTGTAGTACATTATTCTGGCTGAAATGGAAAGTTGTATTTAAGGTAGAGAAGGAGAGGGCTGGGAAGGCGGGCTGAGGCCAGATCATGAACTTCCCTGAACAAGTTTGTCCTTTATTCCAGGGACAGCAAAGAAATGAAGAGACCTGGTTAAACTCTGTTCTGGGACTCACTTTCCAAGTGGATTAAGTGCAAGATGCATTAGAGCAGGGAGAAACCAGAAGCAGAGACTAGGAGGCTACCACAGAAACCCAAACCAAAGTGCTCAACTCAGGGTAGATGTGAGAGGCATTACAGAAGAAAAACACATGGGAGTTAAGGGCAGGTTATTGGGAAAATAAGAAAGTAGGGTGACTGAGTTTTTAACTTATGTACCAAAGATTAAGTATTAGTAAATGGAAATTGAAAAGGGATCCTAATTTCACTGGAAAAGTGAGTTTTATTTTAGGAATATTGTATCGAGCATATATATTACATCTTTGCCTTGCCTCCCAATCCCTTTACCAGCTCCATTTTTTTCCCCTCAGCATTTATACCCCAATACAATGTACTTCTATTTATGCACTATTGTCTGTCTCCCTCTACCTGAAAAGCCTCCAGAAGGCAGGGATATTTTTTGGTTTTGTTCATTTGGTCTGCCTCAAGTGTCTTGAACAGTGCCTGACACATAATAAGTGCTCAACAAATATATGTTAGCTGAATGCATGGGTAGAGAATATCTACCATGTGGTTAAAAAACAATAAATATGATATAGTTCAAAAAGTAAAATGCATTGAAAACTTCATATGTTGCAAGATACTGTTTTTGTGTTCTACATATATCACATTGCTTATAACTACCATAGAGGAATAGATAGCCTCATCCCATTGCAGATAAAGAAACTAAGGCAGAGTGGTAAAGAAATAGCTTAATCAGGAAAGTGTTAGAGCCA